TCTCATGTCCAAGTATGACAGGCAAAGTCTTGCAGTCCTGGCTTCTAAGGAACATTCTGGCCATACTTCTTCCAATACAGATTTGTTCATTCTGGCAATACATGGAACTTTTAATACTCTTCTCCAGCACCATAATTCAAATTGATCAATTCTTATATGGTCTTCCTTATTCATTGTCTGACTTTCACATGCATATGAGGCAGTTGAATACCCAACACTTGAACTTTTTGTTTAGATATATGCTGGTGTGTTCATACCCTTTGGTTTTCTACTCCAGGTCTTTGTACCTTTCATTATAATACTTTATCTTCTCAAGCTGCCCTTTGAAATTTTCTGCTCAACTCTTTTGCGTCATCATTTCTCCCAGTGACTTTAGCTTCTCTATATTCAATAGAAATTTCAGAGTCTCTTCTGACATATATTTTGGTCTTTTCTTTCTTTTTAATGATGAGCAAAATACAAGATGTTGGACTATATGATGAAAAATGCAGCATTGTTTTCTTCATTAGGTTTGTTTTATTCAACTTTTTATTGTGAGTTGAGTCAGGGTTTACAGAGTAGATCATCAGTTTTATATTCAACAAAACATACTTTGCTTCATTACATGGTTGAAGGGTTGCCATCCCCTGCTTGTACCAATATTCACCTCTATTCACTATTGCATTCCTCCCTGTATCTCCTGCTACCTTCATCTGTCCTCTGCTAATCTCCCTCTTGTATATTGCCTATACTGTCATCCATGTTAATTTGTGTCTACCCTCTAGCCTGTGAATAATTTTCCCTCCCCCATGTAACCATGCAGATTGTTGCTTTTATCAAGAAAACCTTTTAGTAACTTTTAACAACATTGGTCTCACTTTTGTGATTGGCTAATTTCACTCAGCATAATGTCCTTCAGGTTCAACCATGTTGTGAGATTTTGTAGTATCCCATTGTGTGCATGAACCAACGTTCGTTTAACCATTTTTCTGTCAGTGGACATTTAGATTGTCTTCATCCTTTTTGATATGTCTCTTGTAGACAGCATATTCAAGGATCCTGTTTTCTTATCCATTCTGCTCTCTGTCTCTTGATGGATGCATTTAATCCATTTACATGCGGTGTAACTATCAGTAGCTATGAATTGATTGTTGTCAGTGTTCTATGTTTTGTTTTGGTGTTTTTCCTTGCTGCTAGATTCTATGTTCTATATAATTTTCTGTGTTGAGTTCGTTTTGTTTGTGGGTTCTCTTTTCATTTTCATTTCTGTTGTGTTAATCTTTGTAATTATTCTCTTTTTTTAAATTTTGATGTGCAGGTATATTACTTTTCTTTGAGGTTACCCTGTAATTCCTTAAATTTTTCCCTACTTAAAATACTTTGTTTTACCCTGAAACTTTCTTGACTCCCTTGGAAGTTCTGTATCTACTTTTTGCTTTGTAGTTGACTTCATTATACATTGATGTATCTGTTTTACTATTATCAGTCTTGAAGATTTGTTTTACTTTAAATATTTTTATATTTGAGTACTAGTGTGGTGCTGGACTACAAAGTTGGTTTGAACCTCAAGGCCAGTGGTTCAAGCTCACCAGTTACTACTCAGAAACCCTATGAAAGGGTTGTTATGGGTCAGAACTGACTCAATGGCACTTAATAACGATAACATCTGGATTGGAGTCCAGGTGTGACGTAAGCCACTCCTTGGAAACCCTATTCAGGTCACTATGACAACTGTTTAAAAACTTGTACTTATTTTATCTGTTCTTATAGAATTTTCCTGAATTATTCTAGTTTCTGTCAGTGTTCTTCTTGTTGATCTTTCTGTCAGTGTGTTGAAGGTACCAAAATACAAGTCTTTTGAATTCTTTTTCAGTTCGTTTCATTACCTTTTTTCCTCAGAAATGTTTTCTCTTTCTGAATCTTGGTCATTTGTTTGAGCCTTTCTATCTAGTTTCTTCTAGTGAGCTAAAGTTGTGTATTGTCTCTGGGGCCTTGTAGGGGTTGTCATATTTGTAAAATCAAACTGCAATTGTTGGACCTGGAGGGGAGAAAACTCTGGTGGACTCTAGCAATTCAAGTTGCTCATGAGCTTAGTTGTGGAAGGGCTGTCACAGCAGAGTTCCTGATGCCTGATAGAGTTGGTCTCAGTGTCTGTTAGTATCATAGGAAGTTGGGTGTAGGGTGACTAGTGAAATGGTCTGACTCCGTGGGTTTTGTAGGTATGGAGCTGAGCCCACCTGAATCCAAGCACCAACTCAAACTATATGCCTCCAAACTTCTAGAGAGCAAGTTCTGCACTAGGGTGGGTGAGGGTGGGAGCTGACCACACCTCTGGTCACCAGGGGAGCATGGGGAAAAAAAAGAAATCACACTTTTCCCGTCACCCACGTGAATCTGCTTGCCAGGCCTCCCTATGCTGCCAGAGCTGCTCACAAGAAGATGGTTGAGACTCATCTGGCCAGCTGTCTACCAGCTTCCCTCTCTTGCCATCCCTGCTCAGACTCTCCTCCCAGCAAACACTCCATCCACCTCTCTAAGCTTTCTTCTGAAGTTCAGGGAGCTGGAATATTACCTGTTTTAGACTGTCTGTGTAGTGTGTCAACCTAGTCTGCCATCTTGTGCAAGTCCTGTATGATGGTCTTGATGTCATCCCACAATTCCTCTGGTCTTTGGTCATTAGTGTCTAATGCACAAAATCTGTTATCTAAATTCAGGTGGGATATACACAAAGTCATATTTTTTGACTCTCATGGACTTGTTTTAATTTTCTTCAGCTTCAGTCTGAACTTGAGTAAATGATGATCTGTTCCACAGTCCACCACTGACCTTGCTTTGGATGTTGACACTAAGCTTCCTTGACCTCTCTTCCCACAGATGTAGTCAGTTTAATTTCTGGTGAGGTTCATATTTATATGTATACCATTTATATTACTGAAAAAAGTGATTTCATTTATATCACCATGGCTTTGTTTTCCAATCACTTATCCTTCCTCTCTCTTTGGAACTTTCATATTCCAATCACCAGTAATTATTGCATCTTGTTTGCATGTTTGATCAATTTCAGACTGAAAAATTTAATAGAATTAAGTTGGTGTATAAATTTGAGCAATGGTATTATTAACTGGTGTTCTTGTAGGTGAGTATTATCCTATCACAGACAGCGTTGTACTTCTAGATCTTGAATTGTTCTTTTTGATGATGAATATGCTGCCATTCCTCTTCAGTAGATTGTGTCCAGCATAGCTCCTCGGAAACCCTATACACGGTCGCTGTGTGTCTGAACCAGTTCACCAGCATTTAGCAACAACAGGCATAGCAAATCATAGGATTGTCCGATTCAGAATGACCAATACCAATCCATTTTTGCTTATTAATGCCTAGTATACTGATCCTTGTGAATTCCATTTCATTTTTGAAAACTTAAAAATTTCCTGGTTTTACACTTTATACATGGAGTGCTGGTGTGGCATTGTGCATTAATGCGCCAGACTGCAAAACCGTTTGAGCTGCAAGGTCAGCAGTTCAAGCTCACCAGCTGCTCCTGAGAAACCCTACACAGCGTTGCTATGGGTTGGACCCAACTCGACAGCACTTCACAACAACAACATACTTCATACCGTCCATGTCCCAATTATTAATGAATATTTACAGCTATTTCTTCTCATTTTGAATTGTGTCTTATCAGCAAATGAAGGTCTAGTAAGCTTTTCTTCCTTTGCGTTATTAAGGTCAGCTAGCTTTTTATTTCAAGTCCTGGTGTGGCACTGTAGACTAATATCTAGACTGCAAAGTCAGTTTAAACTACAAGGTCAACAGTTCAATCTCATAAGCTATTCCTCAGAAACCCTATACAGGATCGCTGTGGGTTGGAACCAACTTGACAGCATTTAGCCATAACAAGCTCCTTAGAAACCATATACGGGATTGCTATGGGTCAGAACTGACTCGATGGCACTTAATAACAAAAAATGCTTTGAGGAGGCAGCTCTTGCCTGTCATATTTTGAGTGCTGTCCAATGTGAGTTGTTCATCTTTCAGCACTGTAGCAGCCAATGTAATGCCAATATTCATAAGGTCTTCAATGACTAACCCTTCAGAAGTAATCATCCTTTCCTTCTTCCTAGTCAGTCTTATTCTAAAGCTCCACTGAAACCTGTCCACCATGGGTGACCCTGCTGGTATTTAAAATACCGGTGACATAGCTTCCAGCATCACAGCAACACACAAGCCACCACAGTATCACAAATAGACAGACCTGTGGTAGACCTCAGCCTTAGGCAACCACTAAACGATTTTCTGTTCCTAGAGTTACCTGTTCTGAACATTTCACATACATACAGTCAAACAATATGTAGTTTTTTGTGACTGAGTTCTTTCACTTTGGATAAAATTTCAAGATTTGTCCATGAAGAGGGAGCCTAGATCCAAAGGGTACAGAGGAAGATAGACTCTCCACTGAGTAGTAGCCAATCTGTTTGGGAGGGATGAATGAAAGGAGATGGGGATAGGTCCCTTGTGGTACAATGGTGAATAATTACTATCAAGACTGAGTGTGAGGGTTGGAAATGTAAAGGTAGACATTTTGTAGCAAAAGGAGGGAAGTGATTGACTTTGCAGTGCAGGAGCGGAGGTCCCTGGGACCATCAAGGGAGAAGAGCGGAGTGTGAGACCCTACCCAGAACAGCAGTGATGCCAGAGATGGAGGTACAGATGACAGCGTGGAGAGATGGAGAGGCCGGGGACTCTAGAACCAGACATGGAGAGGGAGGGACTGTGTGCTGACGTCTGGGGTAGCAGGCTTGCAGGGTATATATACCCTTTGGTTGGTTGATGATGCATGGAGGGGATTGTAACCATGGCAATGAAGCAATATACAATAGGATGAATGTAAAGCTGATGTTCTCCCATGTAAACTATCACATAATTCACAATAAAACATTTTAAAAAAAGATAATTTAGCTAATCATAATCATGCCTTCTTTATTTTTCTCCTAACAGATCAAATTTGAAATTTAAAAACAATGGAGAAGTCTCAAGAAACTGTCCAAAGAATTCTTCTAGAACCCTACACGTATTTACTTCAGTTACCAGGTAACTACTCACTTATAATCTGTGAAGGGTAGAGTTCAGACACCAGCAGGTTTTCAAATATTATCACACAGATAAAGTTCAGCTTGTGAGCTCTTGAGATACTCGCTTTAAAATGATGGATGTGAGAAACCTGGTAAGTAAATAGCATTTTGTTCTTACAATGTACATTTTTGAGCCACCCTTTTAAAAATGTCTAATTATATAAATTTTTTGTTGTTGTTAAGTGTCATCGGGTCGGTTCCGACCCATAGTGACCCTGTATAAGGTTTCCGAGGAGCAACTGGTGAGCTTGAACCGCTGACCTTATGGTTTCAACTGACTTTGCAGTCCAGCGCATTAACCCATAGCACCATGTAAAAAATTAAAAGTACTTAGAACATTTTGGTACCCCTTTAGAGGTTTTATTCTTTATGGATGCTGCATATTCTTATTTCCTACTGTTTAGATACATGGGTAAGTTTTACAGATTTGTATAATAACAGAAAACTTCCATTACTCTCCCTGTCCGAGTTTCCCGCTACCACACATTGCATATCGTACACTACGAATTTCTTTGAGAGCAAAACAATAATACTAAAAGATCACATTGTTTGGAAGCATGTTGTTGATTCTCACCAAGTTGATTCTAATTCGTGGTGACCCCGTGTGTGCACAACTGCTCCACAGGTATTCAGGGCTATGATCTTTCAGGATCACATCACCAGTCCTGCCCAATGGGCTGCCTCTTGGGAGACGCTAACCACAGCCTTTTTGGCTACTAGTCAAGCACTTAACTATTTGCACTACTGAGGGACTTTTTTTTTTCATGTTTTATTTTGAATTATATGATAGTTTACATGGGAGAGCATTGGTTTTACATTCATTCTGTCATGTATCGTTTCATTGCCATGGTTACAATCCCCTCCATGCATCATCAACCAAGCAAAGGGTATACACTACAAGCCTGCCCCCAGTCTTCAGCACACAGCCCCTCTCCCTGTCAGGTTCTAGAGTCCCCAGCCTCTCCACATCTCCACGTTGTCATCTGTACCTCCATCTCTGGCGTCACTGCTTCTCTGGGTAGGGTCTCACACTCCGCTCTTCTCCATTGATGGTCCCAGGGACCTCCACTCCTAGACTGAAAAGTTAATCACTCCCCTCCTTGCTACAAAACATATACCTTTACATTTCCAACCCTCACAGTCAGTCCTGATAACAGTGATTCACTGTTGTATCACAAGTGACCTATCTGCATTTCATTTCATCAGCCCTGCCCAGACAGATTGGATACTACTCACTGGAGAGTATATCTTCCCTCACACCCTCTGGATCTAGGTTCCCTCTGTCTTTCTTTCTTTTTTTTTTATATATTTAGACATTTTTATTGTGAATTCAGTGAAGATTTACAAGCAAGATGATCAGTTTTACATTCAACAAGCCATATACATTGTTTTTTTGTTTGTTTTTGTTTTATTATTTAAAGTTTTTATTGTGGATTAAGTGAAAGTTTACAGGGCATATCATCATTTTTACATACAACCAATCATACACCTTGTTTCATTACAATGATTATAATCCCTTTTTGTACCATCAGATAACAGTATTTCTCTCTATCCACTTTAGCTTTTTTTTTAAAAAAAAAACATCACTCAGGCATATATAATAATTTACATCTCCAAAGAACACATTCTGCAAGTCTGCCTCCTGGCCACCAGCTCTTAGTCCCTGTCTTCTTAGTCCATGAATCTAGAGTCCTCAGCCGCTCACGCTCTCTATGCCCCCATCTCTGCCTCCATCTCTGGCGCTGCTGCTTCTCTGGATAAGGTCCTGCATTCTGCTTGTGCACTTCTCTCTTGATGGTCCTAGGGTCCTCTGTTTCTGGGCTGTAAGATTAACCACTCTCCTGTTTTTGTTACAAAACTTCTACCTTTACAATTGTGACAGTCACAATTAGTCATGATAGCAATTATTCACTATTGAATCTTACGAATCTTATCCCCATCTCTTTTCACCAAACCCATCTAGACAAGATGACAGCTATAAAGTGGGGACTCTTTTTATCCCCCCCACACACACACACACACTCTTAAACTAAACTTCCTCTTGAAACCTTGTTGGCCAGTAACTTCATGCCTTTATTGCCCCCTCATTTTAGGTAGCCAGTGTCTAAGTTGCCCATCCCTATCACCCTGTGTGCGTACAGAGGGGATAGCATTGATACTTGATGTGAAGATTTCTTCCCCCTCTGTTGGTATTTAGAGTAACTACCGCTCTGAGTATAGGTCAGGTTCAACAAATTGTAGCAATTTACCCTTGCTTCCTTTATCCACACACACACAAAAAAATAAGAACTTGAGTTCTGATTATCAAGCCATCGAGGCTAGATCAAAAGGGTACTGGATGCAAGTTTGAGTGTTCTTGTGCATCTCCCCTCACTTCATATCAGCTGGATACTTCACTCTCAGCTCTAGCCCTTTGTGGCTAAGGCCTTGTCAATAGACTCAGCTGTCCTCAGGTCTCACCACACTTTGGACCAACCTGCCCTTCCTCTTCTCTCTCTCATCTCCAGGTCAATGGGAGTCAATGGACTGTGGTTGAACTCAGCATATGTCTTCATTGCTGCCTTTCCCCGTCTTCCACTAACCAGTAGACCACTGTGGTCCCCAGCAAGCTTACATGCTTGGTTTTGTATTCTCTTGGTTTTGTATTCAGTCTTAGAGGGGAGTTTGTCCTGAAGGCACTTTATTGCTTGCCTTGATGGCTTCCTGGCAAACAGCTTGCTTTCTCTTTTAGTAGCCAGTTATGCTGACATTTTTATTTTGGGTTTTTCCTGATAATCTTTCTTTGAAGATGTATCTTCTGTCACTGTAGCTGTTCCAGGCTGGTCTGCTTGTCCTTTCTACTAGTGGGAATGTCCCACCTCATAAGGTTCTGGATGAGACTCAGGATTCCACCTAAAGGTCCTATACTCTGTAAAGGCTTTGCACGAGGCCTATTCCACTGGGCAAGTTGTAGAACCCCTTTTAGGTATTCCAGTCAGTTATAGTCTGAAGATGGGCTTACAAGTTTTCTCTAATCATGTTTCCCAACATTCCTTTCTATCCCACTCAAGTGTCTATTTTACAATAGTAGGCAAGAGAAACTAATATTCATAAGGCAGTCAAGGATTTTAGTTATTTACCCTCTTCAAGCTATACCTGTTGTTGTTGTTGTTGTTATGTGCTGTGGAGTTGGCTCCGACTCATAGCGACCCTGTACAGGGTTTCCGAGGCTGTAAATCTTTACGAGAGTAGAAAGCCTCATCTTTCTCACACTCAAGCTATACCTAGATCACTGTATCCCAGAGCCCTGTTGTTCCAAGGTTGAGTGTGCATCACTATTTACCTCTGTCCCACTTAGGACATGCAAGCCTGTCTCAGTGTTCCCCTGTCTATCTTGTTCTAATGCCTTCTCCCCGCTTCTTGTATTGCCTTCCCCAACACCCAAACTAAACCCCCCACCCCAACCCCATTGTGGTCACCTTAATATTCCATTAGTTCTTCCCTCCATTTAAGACAGTCTATTTTATCCTGTAATCTACCTGACTTTCCCACCACCTGGATCTCTGTTCCTCTGTGTTTACCTTCTTTCACTGTTTTGATCATAGACTGACCTCCCAGATCCTCTGTTCTTATAATTTTATTCTGTCCTTGATGCTTCTATTTGTCTATTGAGTTCAGGGTGATGCTGCCACGTACGTCATTCTGTAATTGTCTGTTCTTGTTGGTTCTCAGTCCACAGAACTTCCTTTAGGATGTTTTTCATAGCAGGGTTGTCTTTGGCAAAATCCCTTAGCTTCTGTTTATCCTGGAATGTTTTGATTACACCCTCATATTTGATTGACAGCTTTGCTGGGTAGAGGATTCTTGGGTGGCAGTTTTTTTTCTTTCAGGGTTTTATGTATGTCTCCCCTTTGCCTTCTTGCCTGCATGGTTTCTGTTGAGAGATCCGAGCTTAATATGATTTGCTTGCCTTTCTTTGTTACAGTTCTCTTTTCCCTAGCTGCTTTCAAGATCCTGTCCTTATCTTTGATTTTGGAGAGCTTGATTATTGTATGTCTTGGTGATTGTCTTTTAGGAGGGTCTATCCATCCTGGGGTTTATATATCTTTTCACTTTTCAGGATGTTAGGAAATTTTTCTTCCAGAAGCTCTTCAGCTGTCTCCTCTGTGGACTTGTGTGATTGTTCCTGTTCCGGAATGCCAATAATTCTTAAGTTATTCCTCTTCATGTTATCCAACATGAATCTTAGGCCTTCTTCAAATTTTTTTTATCCTGTTTTGTGTTTGCTCTTCTGTCTTAGTAGTGTTGAGAGATATATCTTCTAGCTCACTGGTTCTGGCTTCTATCTCTTCAGTTCTACTCCTTTGCCCTTTCAGTTTATTGTCCATTTCTGGTATTCTATTATTAATCATTTGGATCTCTTTCTGTAGGTTTTGAATTGTTTCCAATGCTGTGTCTATCTTATTTGATTGTTCCTGTAGCGCTTTCCTGACTTCTTCCTTGTTTTCTCAACTCCATTATATAGTGTTTTGATACATTTTATAATCATTTTTCTGAATTCCTTCTCCAGCATTTCCACAGCCTGACCATCTTCCAGTATGGAGTATAGGTCTACTTCTAGCTCATTTGCCTCAGTAATTTTATCTCGTGTCTGGACATGTGTAGATATGGTCATCTATTTCTGTTTTTTGGGCATATTCAGGGGTTGTCTGTGGTCTTAATACTTAGATGGATGTGTATTTTGGTATTTTTTATGCTCTCTGATTGCCTCCAGGTAGATGTGATCAGGAAATGGGCTTCCCTTTGCACTCTTCTTTGGAAATTTCAAGATGCCACTCTTGGTTGTTTTGATGTAACTTATGATTTAATTTTTGGCCTATTTCCTTTTTTGCCTGCCTGTCCCGTTCAACAATCCCATTCAGACCTTTTTTCTAATTATAAACAGTTCAGGGCCTGCTAAGGCCGTTTGGTTTTAAGTGGATACTGTCTCTTTAAATTTCAAGGAGATCTGTGCACATGCATAGCAGAACCATCCAAGGGTAAGGCCGGGGTAACCACTAGCTCAGGCACCCCTATGGTCACCAGAATGGAGGTGCGCAGACGGCAAGGGAACAATGAACAGCTACCAAAAGAAAAGAATATCCACACCTTTATCTCTGCTGTTCTGTCAGGCGTCCATTGCTGCTCTGATCCTTCCTTGCTTGGTCTCACCCAAGATGGCGGCTCCTGGAGCAGCTGAGCATCTTGAATTAGAAAGCAGTGGATTTCTTGCTTCTGCTACAAATTCCCATCGCTGTAAGCCTTCCAACCTTCTAAATATTCCTTTATATATGGTTTAAGAGTTCTGGGACCATCCCCTGAGCCTGCTTGGTCCTGTATTCTGTGTTGTTGCTGACGGAGCTCCTTACTGCACTTCCACCCGATCTGCCATCTTGTTTGTTCTCCTTCTAGGTTCCCTTTTTAAAGCTTGTAAGCCGGTCACTTTTTGACTTTGTAGCCACCTGTCCCCTCCCCCCCATTTTGGGTAGCCAATATCCAAGTTGCCCATTCCTGTCTACTCTCTGTGTAGAGGGTTTGGGAATGATCCTTGCTGCAAAGATTTGTTTCCTCTTTTGAACTACTGCATTCATGAGTGTAGGTCAAGTTCATCAAATTGTATCAAATTACTCTTTTTTTTTTTTCCTCTTCTTTTTTCTTCTATGAGGGACTTCTTTAGCAGCATAACCCACATTATTCCTATATATCATTGGATATGTTTTCCTGTTGTAGTGCCTGACTAATCATATGTGTGTGTTTGTTTTGTTTTGTTATTTTCGTAAAAGATCATAATAACAAGTAAATATTAATCTATAAATATATTGGTTCTTAATAATAAAAATTCTCTTCTAAACCAGAGACTTGTAACTCAGAATGCTCTTTCTCATAGAAATAATATAAAACCCCTTGACCCAGGGCAGTCACTTCCAACTCATAGTTACCATATGGAGAGAGCTGTCCTGGAGGATTTGTAAGACTGCCACGTGTTTTTTCTGTGGAGTAGCTGGTGGGTCAAACCACAGACTTCAGTAAGAAGCAACTCAGCAATTTAACCAGTACACTACCCAAAGAGCTTTTTTGTGTGCTAAGTTGATTCCGACTCATAACAACCCTGTTTCTGAGGAGCAGCTGGTTAGCAGTCTAGTGCTTACCAACTACAGTGTCACACAAGAACTCTATAAAAAGCCTGTATTATTAGCATGAGAGGACTTTTTAAAGTTCATGGAAAAATTGCAGTCTTTTTCATTCCATTTTTCCACAAACTTTTTGAAGTCCCCTTATGTTGGTAAGCTGTCTGGTAATGCACTTACCTCAGTCACAGTAAACTTTTTTTTTCATTTCTGCTCTAAAGCACACACCTCTATCTGTGAGAATAGAACACCTCACTTGGTAATCTGTGTGTTTGTTTTTTCTTGAGCCCAGGGAAGCAAATACGGTGATGAAAAGCATGCTAGTTCCCTGTTGACACTTTGTTGGTGTCATTTCTATTCTGGCAGATCTGAATGGAGACTGCCTGCTAATGTCAGTGCTTCAAAAGAATGGAGGACACACAAGTAGAGAATTCAGAGGGAAAAGTGCGTGTTGTGTAAGATAAAGTTAAGAGACTGCTTCCCTGCAGGGTACAGTTGATTCTGCATTCTACTGCCCTGTGGCTGAACTCCTTGGCAGTAGGTTGGCAGTAGCACACACTGCCTGGAACAGGGCTGCAATACAACATGTCGGCATTCAGTGCTGACAAAACCTAAAGCGTATCTGCCATGCTACTGTCTGTCATGCAAAGCAAGGACTGCTGGTAGTTACACAGGTAATGTTACCTTCAGGTATGGTGCTGTTGAGTCATTTCTGAGGAGCAGCTGGTGAGTTTGACACGCCAACCTTGCAGTCCAGTGCTTATCTTAGGGTTCCACACCAGGACTCCACATTAATGTAGATATCTAATATTATCAGGAAGTTCTATTTTAAGCCATTTAATATACTGAAAACTCACATTAGTTACCCCCTTTTTTTTTTTTTAATTAAATATATGTTTGCATCCATGACAGACTATAATCTCAAAAGATTTTCCTAAAGAAGTAAGATACAGTGTTAAGCATAACAAACCTATTTTTCACAAAGCACTTCAGAGTTAACCAAAATGGCTCAAAGGTAGACCAGGCCATATGTACTGTATAAAGTCCTTCTTGCTATTAAAGGTGATAATAATATTGATAACTAGGATTTTTCTGAAATTAGTGAAGTAGCTGGCTTTTATATTTGTTTATTTGCCCTAGTCTAAGTCCCAATATCTTCACAATGAAGAGTAGAATTGGGGAAAGGAGAGTCCTAGAAAGGGAATCAGTAACATCTTAAGGATTTTGATAGGTTTCTGTCGGTAGCCTTAGGAGCTCTGGTGGCGTAGTGGGTTATGCGTTATGCTGCTAACCGCAAGATCAGCAGTTCTAATCTACCAGCTTTCTGCTCCCTTAAAGATTGACAGGCCAGGACACCTTATCCAGGGTCTGTGAGTCAGCACCGACCTGCCGGACAGCACATTGCCTCCACTGTTTAGCCTTAGTGACCTGAGGTAAAAAAAATTATGGAATGTGAGAAAAATATAGCCCTTAATACTTAAAAATTAAACCTTTTATTATACTGTTTAATTAAAAGCTCAGTTTTCTTTATAAAATTCAGAAATAAAACAAGAAGAATGTGGTTGGTTCCACACTGGTTCATAATGTTCTTCGTCTTCTAATGCTGATTTTAGAAATGATACTGATTTCTTTGCTGAACAACTGACTCAAGTTGTTCATTGTAAGTGTAGCCCAGACTGACCCCTATTAACCTGGAAAGTACATCAGAAATAGAAAGTATGTGATTGTGTCACCGACCAAGGTACACCTGAGGGGAGGTAAGTAGGCAAAAGATGTTTTCAGAATCCGGAGATGCCGCCTCTCTTGTACTTTACACAAAAAGAGTAAAACTTTGTTTCATTTTGATAAGTGATGAGAGTCTGTGTGTATTTTGTGTTTGATTGGGTTCTTAATGCAGAGAAGATAATAGCCTTCTAATTTATTTTCATGTTACTGCTTCACTTTTTAAGAAAAGTGAGTAAATGCACCTAAGTAGTTCCATAATGGTACAACCAAATTCTAGCATTAAAAATTTTTTTTTTTTTCAGTAAAACTAATAAACTCTTGATTGGGTTTCTAAACCATTCTCACTGTCCCCTTGATCCTTCATCTCACTTTGTAAATAAAAATACACCTTATAGCATTAAAGAAAGAAAAAAAGAAGAGTATCTTTGTTTAACATTTTATGTCAGCACTTTGTTGAAACCTAATCTGAAATTAAAATGTTAGTTTGCATTCACTTTAGCAGGAAACTTAATAGAATGTTTTTACTAAATAAACTGGTTATAGTTTTCAGTCTACCATTCCTTTGTATGTGGGCTACAAGAATTTCTGGTACTGGATACCTCTTCTGAGCTTTCCATGTAAGGAAAAACAATGTTGACAAAGTAATATCCCTAGTGAAAATAAAGAGAGAGGTTAGTTTGAAACTGAACTTGAGATGTGAAAAGGAAAACTTCAGGCCATGGCATTCTTTTTTTATTTAGGAACGAAGCAGAGTTGTTCAGTGTCTAAAACCTCATTTTAAAAGGTCCGTTTGCAAGGTAGTAATTCAACACCAGAAGACAGTTCATTAGAAATACTTGTAGTTGTTTGCTTGCTGATCAAGTTTCAACAATTCTGAGCAAAATAGATAGTGCTGATTAACTGTCACAAACTAGATTACCTTTTTTTTTTTCCAAAACAAAAGGAACAAATTGTACTGTAATTCCTAACCCATTCCAATTCCAAAATTACTGTTTTTATGATCCACAGTAAAATGAAAGACATGGGTTAGTGGCCATAATTTTAAACCTTTGTGGGTTTTTTAGGGTGTAAATTTCAGGAGGGTAAAGTAGTCCTGGTGCAGCGCTGTAGGCTCAGCACTGGACTGCTAACCGCAAGGTCGGCAGTGCAAACTCACCAGCGCCTCTTTGGAAACCCTATGCAGGGTCACTCTGAGTCGGAAGCAACTCGACACTTGACTGCAACCAAAGAGGAGTGAGCACTGGATGATGAGCTCTGCTGGGTGATGATTGATGACCTGGAGCTAACAAATCTAATCAATTTTGGAGGAAACCTCTAAATGTGCTTCTTGTAATTAAAATACTAGTTTTATTGCCACAATTTATTCTTTAACCACAGGTAAACAAGTGAGAACCAGACTTTCACACGCTTTTAATCACTGGCTGAAAGTTCCAGAAGACAAACTAAAGGTATTTAGGCAATTCTAATCTTATTCTTTGCAGCCTTGGTGGCACTGTGTTAGCAATAGGCTGCTAACCTCAAGGTGGGCAGTTCAAAACCACCAACTGTTCCAAGGAGGAGAGATGAGACTTTCTGCTCCCATAAAGATTGACAGTCTCAGAAACCCTATATCGGGTAGCAATGAGTCAGAACTGACTGAACAGCAGTAGGTTTGCTTCGTAATCTTAACTCTTTTTTTTGGTAATCTTATTCCTGAACCTTAAGAAATTAATAGGCAATGTAAAAATGCTCTTAGCTCTTAATTCAGTATAATGTACATATAAAATGCCATTTTATATTGAGGTTGCCAAACAATTATTCATTGTTTCATAAAGGCACCTCAAACTTTTGTAATCTGTGAATAATTAAATATTTTTAAGCTGTTTTGAATGGTCAAATAAAGACAAATTTTCAATTGTCTCCTTTGTTAGATTATCATTGAAGTGACAGAAATGTTGCATAATGCCAGTTTGCTCATTGATGATATTGAAGACAACTCCAAACTTCGACGTGGCTTTCCAGTGGCACACAGCATCTATGGAATTCCATCTGTCATCAACTGTGCTAATTATGTATATTTCCTTGGCTTAGAAAAAGTCTTGACCCTTGACCACCCAGATGCAGTGAAGCTTTTTACTTGCCAACTTTTAGAACTCCATCAGGGACAAGGCCTAGATATATTCTGGAGGGATAATTACACTTGTCCCACTGAAGAACAATATAAAGCTATGGTACTGCAGAAGACAGGTGGACTATTTGGATTAGCCGTAGGTCTCATGCAATTGTTTTCTGGTTACAAAGAAGATTTAAAGCCACTACTTGACACACTTGGGCTCTTTTTCCAAATTAGAGATGATTATGCTAATCTGCACTCCAGAGAATATAGCGAAAACAAAAGTTTTTGTGAAGATCTTACTGAGGGAAAATTCTCATTTCCTACTATTCATGCTATTTGGTCAAGGCCCGAAAGCACACAGGTACAGAATATATTGCGCCAAAGAACCGAAAACGTAGATATTAAAAAATACTGTGTTCATTATCTTGAGGATGTAGGTTCTTTTGATTACACTCAGAAGACTCTTAGAGAGCTTGAGTCTAAAGCCTATAAACAAATTGAAGCCCGAGGTGGAAACCCTGAGCTAATAGCTCTAATAAAGCATTTAAGTAAGATGTTCAAAGAAAATGAATGATGCTAAGCCTTTCTGATTGGGCCTAATCACTTATTTTAGATAAATTATATATATGTATATATATGATAATATATATTATATTAGCTTATCACCTTCTAAAATACATGTCCCAGTGATTTAGTCTCCAAAAACAAATGCGTGTGATATGAATCAAGTTGTTGGCATTTGGAACTCCTCTGTACAAATCATTACCATAGTATAAAGTTGAAGGAATGGAAAGAAACCATATTGAAATAGGTCTAATTTGGATGTCATGTGGGACATTGTGACCTACTCTGCCATACTGCTGTGAATGTTCTATTGGTTTTGTCAATAAAGAAGACTTCAGCCCCCAGAAATGTTTATCCAAACGCGTACCAACTGTATTATATGGATAGTTCACAATTCGTCTACCCCAGTTCCAAGCCAGAGACTATACTTCGAACCAGTTACTGTAGCTAGCTGACCCAGAGACCTCAGGAACCTATTGTGTACGAATTTCTCGAGCTTGTTGGAAATCTTACTGAAATCCTCCATGAAAAGGCTGGTAGGGACAAACAGTAAACATTCTGGTCTTTATCCTTGCCCCTTTCCTTTTTTCCTCTCTCCCCCCTCCACAACTCCTTTAACTGGGGACTTTTCACTTATTGTTGACATACTTGCCAATTTCACATTCAGATCCAAGGAGTTCTGGTGGAACAACAGTTGAACACTCCATTGTTCACTGTAAAGCACTGCACCCAACCAACAACTGCTAAGTATTGAGTGATAGCATTGTCTTTCCTTTGAGCAAAAGGTAAAAGGGTGTATGGAGAAAATAGCTTGGGAGAGGGACCCTGTATATCTTTCTATTTTTCCCTATAATTAGTGAAAATTATAAAAAGGCTATTTGCTTACCTCACATACAAGAAAACCCAGCAAAATGACCTTTTCATTCCTTCCCACATCACCACCTTGAAGGCAGTAGGTGTTTGAGTGAAAAGGGGAGTAAACATTAAATTTCTGTGTTAACCTCAGAGCTAATGCCTAACTGAAAAGTAGCCAAATGGCTACATTATCTAGACTTGTTCAGCTTCATACTGCCTTAATCCATATTCCCTTGTCTCTTTTGTGTCATGTTCATCCCCAAGCCACTCTCACTGAACCCATTCTGTGGCCCAAGTGATAGGGAAAAAGCTTTTTTATGTTAAAAACGAAACTCTGATTTCCTGTATTAGAAATGTTGACATTCTAAAATAGAATTTGTGTTTCCTTAGAAACAAAATTCTTGATTGACTTTTATCTAGGATCAAATCACCAAATACGAGAAAAGTCTCAGCAAGTCAACCTAAATCTTTGGAAAAGTTGGGTGTAGCCTGTACTAACTTTTAAAATCATTTGAATTTTCCATTGTAATAATGATGATACTTATCAAGGTGGATATTTGTGTCACAATATGGAAATATGAGCTTTGTGTCTGTACGCCCATAATTTGAAGAAAAAAAAAACTTGATTGCTAAAAAAAATTACTGCTGACTTTATAGGCAGAAATGAAAGTATTTTCTTTAAGTATAAAGGTGTGTTGGTGGCGCAGTGCTTAACTGTTGAGCTGCTAACTGAAAGGTCGTTAGTTCAGACCCACCATTTGCTCTGTAGGAGAAAGATGTGGCAGCCGGCAGCCTACTTATCATAATAGCCTTGCAAGCCCTTTCCTCTAAAACCTTCAGAGACTGAGTAACTGGGCTCCAGGAAGTAGGACCAAAGTTGTAGGACATCTGTGAAGAGAATGAAAGACTCCAGGATATAATTTGAGTCTGAAAAACTAAAACCACTACCTCCAGTAGCCTAAAACCAGAAGAACCCACTATCCCTACTGACTGTGGGGTCACAATAGAAGAATGTGGACAGAATGGAAGGAAAATGTAAAACAAAATTCAAAATACTTCTTTAAAAGGCCAGAACTAACTGGTCTGATAGATTGGTAGAGCCTCCAAAACCGTAGCCCTTGGATATCCTTCAAACCTGGAGCTAAACCCACTCTGGAAGACCACCTTTCAACAAACAATAACCCCACTGCTGTGTTCTATTGAGTCCTTTCTGACTCATACTAACCCTCTAAGAGTAGAACTCAATAGTGGTGGTTTTTTGTGTTTGTTTATGGAAGTAGGCTGCCTCATTCTCTCAAAGAGTGGCTGGTGGGTTTGAACCATTTATCTTGCGGTTGACAGCCCAGTGTTTAGCCTACTGCACCATCAGGTTTCCTTAGCCAAGCGATGAGTCTATAAAGTTAACACAGTGAGAAATGTGCGCCTCAAAACAACCAACCATTCAAGACTGAAAGAACATTTGTTCTGAAACAAAGTTCAGAAGGCAGGAAGGGACCAGAAACAGTGATTGGAAATGGGAAACCCAGGGAGGAAGTACAGACACTATATTGAGGGGCTTGTAATTAACAAAATGCATGTAAATTGTTCAATGGAAAATAAATTTGCTCTGTAAACCCACCCAAACCACTATAAAATGTTCATAAAACAACAAAAAAGCTGTATAGACGAGACTACCGAAGACCCACAGGACTGCTACTCAGTGACCACCTACGTACAAGGCCTGCAAGAATTCAGACATTACTCCTGTTTTGTGCCCACCACTGTGGGCCCCACAGACTACGTGCTTTCCAACACATTCTGCCAGAGCAGTGACTGCAGCCTAGGTTCAGTACCAGCTCCCCACTGAGAACAGCCTCCACTGCCCTGCCTGCACTGGGCTTTTCTGGGAAATGTGTCCAGGCACCCCATGCATCGGGCAGGAGACCTCCTGCATCTGTCACTGGCCATGTACAAACTGGACTCATCACCTAACTTGCCAATGAGGGCTGTGCTCCAGCAAGTGCCCACTTCACTAAGGTAGCCTCCTACCTCTACTTCCTTCCATCCTGCAGCCCCCAACCTCCTGGCAGGCAGGGCTGAGTGAAGGACTGAGGATCAAGTGGTTTGAAGCCCCATTTGTCTCCTACTTGAAGTCTCCATCTATCTAAATTAACAGGTTAACAGAGCAAGGAACAAACAAAAACAAGTTAAAGTCCAATGGTGGTGGTGGTGATGTGCCGTGGACTTGGTTCTGACCCATAGCGACCCTGTACAGGGTTTCCGAGGCTGTGAATCTTTATGGGAGCAGAAAGCCTCATCTTTCTCCCACAGAGCAGCTGGTAGTTTCAAACTGCTGACCTTGTGGTTTGCAGCCCAATACGTGACCATTACGCTACCAGAGTTCCTTTTAAGTCCAATAAAATGAGTTAATTCATCTCCTTAGTAGGTTTAAATTACTGTCATTTTTTTCCTGCGTAAAGGAAAACCCAGTGTAATCTGAGTTCAGTATTGGATTTTGTCATTTAAAAGGCGTGTATTTGCAGCATTTGATTTCTATGTGTGCCATCTGGCGAGGTCCATGTGTATAGTTGACTCTTAATGCTGTCTAAAGAAGGTATTTGAAATAAATATATCATTTGTCTTGCAGAAATCTATCATTCGTTCTCCAGCATCATTTTATCACCAAGTCCAAATTTTCCAACTACTGGTCCTTCTTCTTTGCTCCCTACTTTTGCATTCCAATCACCAGTAATGAGCAATACATCTTGATTGCATGTTTGATTGATTTCAGATTGAAGAAGTTGGTAGAATTCTTGTATTTCATCTTCACTGGCTTTAGTGGTTGGTGCATAAATTTGAATAATAGTGGTATTAACTGGACTTCCCTGTAGGCGCATGGAAATTATCCTATCACTTACAGCATTGTACCTCATGACTGATCTGGATATGATCATCTTGATGATGAAAGCAACACCGTTCCTTTTCAGTTTGTCATTCCCTGCATAGTAAACCATGTGGTTGTCAGATTCAAAATGGCCAATACCAGTCCATTTCAGTCCATTTCAGCTCACTAATACCTAAGATATCGATGTTTATATGTTCCATTTCATTTTTGACAACTTACCCAGTCCATTTCAGCTCACTAATACCTAAGATATCGATGTTTATATGTTCCATTTCATTTTTGACAACTTACAATTTTCCCAGATTCATACTTCATACAGTCCATGTTCCAATTTTCAATGGATGTTTACAGCTGTTTCTCTTCATTTTGTTTTGTGGCCCATCAGCAAATGAAGGTTCTGTTAGCTTTTCTCTCCCAAGCTTAACTCTTTTCACGTCATCATGGTCAACTCTACTTTGAGGAGGCATTTTTTCCTCAGTCGCATTCTGAGTGCCTTCCCACTTTCCAGTCCTGTATCTGACAATGTTTCTCTGCTATTCATAGCGTTTTCAGTGACTAGCGATTCGGAAGTAGTTTGTCACTCTTTCTTCCTAGTCTGTCTTTGTTTGGAAGCTCATCTGAAACCTGTCCACCACGGGTGACCTTGCTGGTTATTTTAAATACCGGTTGTAGAGCCCTCAGAATCATAGCAACTCAAACCACCACAGCACGACAGACGAGTGGTGGCCGTTTGGTTTTATGTCTATACTGTCTCTTTAAATTTCGATGTCAATCTTGATACAATCCTGATATAATCAAGGTACAATCAAGATGTTCTCTCTTAATCGTATCAATCCTAATATAATCAAGATATGCTTTCCCAAGATGGCAGCTCCTGGAACAGCTGAGTGTCTTGATCCAGAAAATAACGGATTTCTGGATTCTGCAAATTCCCTAGCTATAAACCCTCCAATCCTCCAAACATACCTTTATATTTGTTCCAGAGTTCCAACACCATCTCATGAGCCCTCTTGGCCCGGTATTCCGTGTTGTTGTTGACCAAGCTCCTCACTACACTTCTTCCCGATCCGTTATCTTGAAGGTGAAAGGCCTGGTAGTGTAGTGGTTAAGAATCTGGTTGTGAACCCTGCGGTCAGCAGCTCGAATCCACCAGGCTCTCCATGGGAGAGAGATGATGCTTTTTGATTCTTAGAGTTGAGAGTAGATTGTGTCCTTTAGACCTAAGATCCCTGTACTGTGAAACTTCTAGATCCAGAATGATGCCAAGACAC